TACTTATTCCATATTGTACCATCAGACTTTTAGTTTTTGGTATCAGTTGTGTGACAAGTTCCTCTCATTGTAATCTATGAAGCCCATCAGTTCATCAACCACGTTGTCAGTGGAATATTATTGAACACCTGTCTAATTTTATTTTGTTGCTCCCTTGCGTAAAATAATTCAGTCCTTTCTAGGCACTTGCAAGATATATTCAGATTCCTTTTCATGTATTTCAAGGCTCTTCATTTAGAAATTTAACTCCCTGGTGCACTTTTTTGCGTAGCCTTGAAAAACTACCTGTAGTTCAATGAAACTTTGTATTATTTTCTTACTACTATATATTTTCTTCCCTATACTTGGAAGAGTATGCTCCTTAACCATTTCCTTATAGTCTCTGTGAATTCTCAAGGAACTAATTAAGCTTTATTTCCTGCCAAATATTTTCTTGCTTCACCCTGTGCCCTGGGTATTTTAAATATATATATTCCAAGATTGTTCTATTGCTTTTTTGTCATACGATTCACTTTTCTGTGCTTTTTGACTTTTGTTTCAATCAGTTACAAATTCATTGAATTAGTATGTTTTATTCTTTAGAACTTGTTCATTGGTATAATTTGTATAGATAGGTCTAAATCAGTCTCACATACATATCTATGATTGGGTGATTAAAAATGAATGAGTGGAAGGGTCTAAAATGGAAAAGGCAGTGGATTTATGGAGAAGTATATATGATGTGGGAACCTTTTGATTCATAGTACTTGGACAGCAATTATAGATCACTAAGTCAAATTGGGAAAGATTGTATTTAATTGCTAGAACCAATCAGAAAACTTCATCTTTTATAAGAATTTATGAAGGAATTGCATTAGTCTATTGAGAGCTAAACTTCTTTAGGAAGAATAATTGGAAGTTTAGGTCACAATCATGTGTATCTTATTATTGTTTAATCCATGATTATTAATTTAGGATTTGTAAATCATAATTATGATTTAATGATGTCTGACTCCATTTCCATAGAAAGCTATGGTTCCTTCCTGACACTGTGTGACCTCGTGATCATATAAAAGTCCAAGAGTACATTGGGTATGGCCCATGAAATATAGAAATTGTACCTAAAGCATTTTACGAATTCAATTCAATTCCTCTCAAAACCCCACTGATATTTTTTCAAGAAAATACGAAAATTCTAAAATACATATGCAAACAGATACCTGCATAGTTAAAGAAATTCTGAGAAAAAAAAGAATAAAATTAGAGTTCCGCACTCTCTTACTTCAAATGATGTTAGAGAATATTCTTAATCTAAATAGTCTGGCCTTAGAATAAAAAATACACAGATTCCAGTGGAATAAAACCAAAAATCTTGAAATAAGTCCTTAGTTCTCTAAAAGTTTAATTATTATATAGCTAAACAGTTACAGTGAAGAAATAAAACCTCTTTAAATATTGAGAATGGCAAACACGAATAACCAAAAGCAAAGGAAAAATGAAACTAGGGCATTACTTACTATGACACACCAAGTTAGTTCAAAAATGGGTTAAGACTGTAATATAAAACCTGAAATTATAAATCACAAAAAAATTAGGCAAAATAATTTATAGTATTGGCTTTTTTGTCGTAACTGGGAATCTAACAACAAGGAAAGAAAAACAAAAATAAAGAAATGTATCAAATTGAAAGGTTTATGTACTGTGGTAGAAATCACAACAGAAGTTAAATGCAGCATATAATTATATTATAGTTGTACATCATGCATCTGACAAGAAGTCAATATCCAAAATATATAACTTGCATGACTCAATATCAAATAAACAAACAATGGGATAAGATGTTCTTAGACATGTCTCCAAATTAACCATCAAATATCCAACAGGCAGACAAATATATATTCCACATTGCTTATTATTAATGAATTGCAAAAACCCATAATGAGATATCACCTCATTACTACTAAAAGATATAGCTACATAAAAATGATTGAAAACAATAAATGATGTCCACAATTAAATGAGCTTGTTTTTGACTCTTAGTCAGAGTAAACCTGGCTACAAATCAGAAATTACCTTATTATCCATCCAAATAACTAATGTTTATGTCCATTCTTAATGTCATATAAAGTAGCTCTAACAGATACAAACTTTGTCTTATACTGCAACTGTGATGAAATTAAGGTGATTAAGCAAAATAAATGGGGAAAGAACTTTTTAAATAATAAAGAACAGAGTTATTAATTGCTAAATATTATAAACTGACACTAAAGGAGAATAAATGTTTCATTTATTGGTAGAATGTTTTTAAGGTAATAGAAATTCCTCTTACATCTTTTCAGTTGCTACTGATAATCTTCCCATGATGAAAGGGTGCTAATAGGGTTTTCTTCCATCTTTAAAGAGTGATTCCAAATGTGTTTATTTTCCACTGTGTCACTCAAGTCAACATTTAGCTGACAAAAATCTATACATAGGTCATTGCCTATGTCATTAAAACAGTCAATGAAATCAGAAGCAATTCATTGAATGATTATTTGGACAACTTTGTATGAAAAGTGATGAAGAAGGCACTTGCTTGATGTTTATAAGAATTTTGCTGACTGTCAAAGGCTGCCTACTTGGATTGGTTTAATAGACTCTGGCTTAGAGTTTCTAGAAAACAAAAATGATGCTTTATGAGCCAATTTATTCAATCCCCAAAATTACATATTAACTTGACAAATTTGTTTAATACATTTAATGAAACAATTTTACAGCTCCAAGGTGATGGACTGAATGTAATCAAAGAAAAAAAACTGCTATTTCTATGTTTGTAGCAAAGCTTCTGTTTAAGTTATATTTGTGAAGAGGAACATTCATCCAGTTTTCAAATAAGCAGTAGAAAATATAAGAGCTTATGTCACCCATTGTCAGTATCCAAAGTTCTCTATTTTTACACCAACAAGCATTTAAAGATATCCTTATAATGAAAATTTTAAGAATAAAAAGGGTTTTGAACATCTTTCATGCATAAAAAATAGTCTCCAAAATTATCAGACAAGCAATAACAAATGAGAAATAAAAATTTAAGTTGAAAGGCAGCTAATAAACCTGATTGCAAAAGCAGATACCTACAGTTTATCCTGTAGCACAGCGGGTAGGGCGTTCACCTTACAAGCGGCCAACATGGCCGACCCGAGTTCAATTCCTCCGCCCCTCTCGGAGAGCCCGGCAAGCTACCGAGAGTATTCGATATGCCAGACACAGTAACAACAAAGTCTCCAATGGAGACGTTACTGGGCCCGCTCGAGCAAATCGACGATCAACGGGAGGGCCTTTACCTTTTTTACCTTTACAGGCTAATGGTACAAAAATATTTTATTGTACTTCCTTTATCATATTGAGTGAAACATGAGTTCAGTGCTGTCACAAACCTGTTAACTAAAAAGTGAAACCAGTTATAGTAGTTTATCATGGACATTTAAGAATGTTGCTGATATAAGTAAAATATTAATGAATTAATATTTCACATCAGTTCTGTTCTTTTCACTAGGAATATTATGAAGCTAATATTTTAACAATTATTAATTATCCTATTTTTCTGTAATATGAATGTTAATTTTGAACATTTTAATAAGTAGTTATATTTTCAAGCTTAAAGCTATTTCAACATATATTGATAGCAATTAATATGATGTATTCATATTAGTTTAATATATCACTTTGATATAACGCATTCATCTTACTTTAATCTAAATTAATTACTTTAATATTTTAATACTTTAATTAATATATTGGTACACTATTGATATTTATGCTTATATTAATCAGGTAATTTAAATAGATATTACTAGTATCAGTATATAAAAGAAACAAATATTTACTTGAAATTGTTTTTGGAGTTATAATTGCGCCTTTTATACACAGTTAAAATAAGAAAATGTAATGTTTCTTCTCTTTGTAATAATTTTGGTCTGAACTGTAACTGTTGACATTTAACATTACTATTTTTCTGAGATAATAATAGCTTTAAAAAACTTTTATTACCTTGCATCAGTTACTATCTCATCAGTCAAAAGGAAGCTGTGTGCGTGAGGAGTGGGAGGTGGTGGCATTGGCAGCAGACACATTGACAAACTGTTCTGTTGCCAACGTGTTAGTATTTGTGTTCAAGAATAACAATATTTTGAGGAAATTAATCAGTCAACCCCATCCGGGGCACTCTGCTTCCCTCCCCGCGTCCTAAAGAGAAGCACTTCGGGTGTACTGGCAAATCTGAACATCTCTGAGAGTGCGTTGCGCACATCCCGTGGTGTCAGAGTGTCCTGTCTGGCACTGGCTCCTGCCTGCCCGACTGATTATCAGGGATAAACTTTAGCCACCGTGAGTGGTGTCTGATTAGAGTAAGTGGGTAAGAAAATAAATAAATTAGTGCGTGAATAAAAATGATTTTTTAATATAAAACGTTTTGAAGATCTTTTGAGAAACTTGGTGATATATTTGTTAAGCAAAAAGATGCCCTATGAACCTTCCTTTCATTTATACAAATGAATCAATAGTAAAATTGATTATATTGTGAACCAATGCCTAAGATTTTAGTGATTAAGAAGCAATGAGAGTGATAAGTAAGGACCTATAGTATTGTATTGATTATTTATAGAACACATTTACTCCTTTACAAACATTAGGATACTAAAGGGAACATAATGTTATATACATTTTTTTTATTCTTTAGTAGAAATTTACTGAATGGCTAATGTATGCCAAATATTATTCTAAGTCTTTAAAATAAATCTTAAAATAAAGCGTAACATTTGTTCGTCATTATTTTCTCCATTCTAATGTCAGGAAGAAAAAACACATTTTTTTCTATTACTGGGAAGGGACATTAAGCCAAAGTGTGACTCATTTGTTCATAGATTTGGGCCTTGACCTATAATTCTCAACTCCTATAGTCTTTTACATTACCCCTAAATCTACAACAAGCATTTTTATGTTGATGAGTAAAGCAGAATTCTAATTCGATATTGCTATTTTTACAGCTCAAACAATGGAGTACCTTTGGAACTCTTGAAATTACACCAGGCATTCAATCAGACAAAATAGCATATGCAGTGGTCACTGAAGAAGATTGTGAAATAATTAAAATTCCTGCAAAACAATATGAAAATTTAAAATTGGTATGGCTTTATCTTATCTATGTGTGTGCTTGTATATATGTGTATAAATAAATATGTGTATTCATTTAAGCAAGTTTTTTCTACTTTAGAGAAGAGTCTTGTCTCTTTTAGTTTCTAAATTTTACTAACTTGAATACTATACAAACGTGGTTTTTTGATGACCATTACCTAAAAGTCTGATAGCAATGAATGTTGGGTGGAAAGAGTTCTAAGAATATATTTTATGTATACTTAAAGAATTTTATGTCTTCCACACATTTAAAACTGCATTCAGGGGTTGGAGTGATAGCACAGCGGGTAGGGTGTTTGCCTTGCACGTGGCCAACCCGGGTTCGATTCCCGGCATTCCATATGGACCCCAAGCACCGCAGGAGCAATTCTTGAGTGCATGAGCCAGGAGTAACCCCTGTGCATTGCCAGGTGTGACCCCAAAAAAAACTGCACTCATTGATTTAACAAACATGCATCTTTGTTATCAACAGTATCTCATGTATTGACATGACCAGGTAGACTGATTTGTACAATTTATTTCAGGAAAAAAATTGCTAGGAGCCAGGGATATAGTGCAACATTAAAGCAATTTTTTTTATGTGCGAAGCCCTGAGTTACATCCCAGGGTTTTATCCCACCAAGAAACAAAGAAAATAACACACGTGAACAAAACTACAAGGTAATTATTGGCATGCTATTTCAGAGTGAGACATCTAAACCCCAAACTTCTTGCATCATAACCAAATTCTGACCATTTAATTCTGCTGTCTGGAGAGAGTATATTGATTCTTTTTAGTTAAACCCTCTCTCCTCTTTCCTCTTTCCTTTCTCCTGGATGCAGAGGAAGATTGCATAAATGATGGGATTGGGGGTTTCCTAAACCCGTGATCTTTGTAAAATTCTCTCTTAGTCTAATCCTTAGGCTCTTGGTACAGGCTACTGATGTTAGGTGCTGTTGAGTGTTTGTGCTTGAGAGTTGAGGGGCGGAGCTTATACCAGAGTGAGATGAGAAGATAACGGCATTCTTGATTTCGGTGTTGGTTATTGCTGTCAGTGCAAGGATCTCAGTGTTAGTAGTATCAGTGGCTATTTTAGAAATTGGTTTTCTTGCACATCCTTGCTTCGAGTACTGATGGCTTAAGAAAAATTGTTTCGTATATTTTATCTTACTTTCAAAATCTAATCATTTGATAATACCTGATATAACTTGATTTTATACCTGCCTATAAGAGTGTTTTTTTAATATTAAAAGTACAAAAAGTTACAAACAGTGAGAAATGTAATTTTAATAGCAGTTATGAAGGCTAAAAATTTAAATTGTGGGGCCTGAGAGATAAGTAGGGCACTTGCCTGGCACATAGCCAGCCCTGGCTGGATCCATAGCACCCCAAATAGTTCCCTGAGCTTGCCAGCAGAGCACAGCTAGGTGTGACCCAAACACACCCCCACTCCAAATAAAAAGGAAAAAGAAAAAATGAAATGCAATTATAGAATGATGTCCTTATAAAATTCACTGCACTGTACTGTCCTCCCATTGTTTTATCGATTTGCTTGAGTGGACCCAGTAATGTCTCCATCGTGAGACTTGTTGTTACTGTGTTTGGCATATTGAATACGTCATGGGGAGCTTTCCAGGCTTTGCCGTGCAGGCATAGCTTGCCGGGCTCTCCAAGAGGGGCAGAGGAATCGAACTCGGGTCAGCCGGGCCAGTCGCGTGCAAGGCAAATGCCCTACCATTCAAATATATTTAATATTAATTTTTATTAATATAGATCATTTACTTTATTCCTTATTTCCATTCCTTTCTTATTTCCTTATATTTTTCTAACTCAGAAAATTTGATCATTTTTTAGGAAATGATGAAACATGATATTGCAAAAAAAGAAAACTTAATTAGTAAGTGTCCATGTTATGTGGAATTGCCTACTGTCTCCATAAGTAAGTTAGCTACATTCATTAAGTGGAAAAAGTTTTCTCCAGGTCATGGTGAGTTAATGAATTTTGGATATTTCCTTTATGAAACTACAATTTTCTTTATAAAATTATATTGCTCTAATTTCTTAATTTAATGCTTTATTAGGTAAAAGGCCCTAATATTTATTAATTAGTATTTAATTATATTTAATATTTTTCACATGACCTTTTCTAATATTTTGGTGTTACCTTTAAATTAGAAATTTATTGACTTTTTTTAAATTTAAAAACTAGTCCCTATTATCTTAAAGGGTAGCTCAGGAAAAGATTTATTTCTACATTACTCTGTAATTCCTACAGTAGTTGGAACTTCTTGTTCCAACCTAACAGTCAAAGTAAGGATCAAATTAAAAGAGTAATGCAATAAAAGTTTTGATAATCTGTTTCTAGGTATTCTGGTTGAATGTCTACTTAAGCAGTCAGTTTGATTGCTTATATCTGTTTTATTACACAGTGACCCACAGTTTCCCTGGATTATGCTAACTCCAAAACTGTATATGGAATTGAATCATTTTTCCTAAAGTTTCCTCTATGAGCACATTAAATAAAAGATGTCAAGTGCAATGGACAGAATGTTTGTTGTATAAAGAGCCTATGTTCCAGTTCTAGTCACCAATGTAGTATAAGTTAGAGGTGGGAACTTTAGAAGGTAGTTTAATCATGAGAGTAAAACAATCATGAATCAATTAATAAATTCTCAAAGGCATGAGAGGTCGCGCCTATGGGCCACATGATAATACGGCACAGGGATTCAGCAGTCTATAAACCAGTAAGAAGTGATCTCAGCAGATACTGAGTCTGTGGTACCATGGTCTTCAACTTTCTAGATTCTCACACTGTGAGAAATAGATGCTTTTTATGTAAGCACTCATTCTCTGACATTTGATATTGAAGTCTAAATTGCCTAAGATGCTTAGCACAAGAAGAACTGTGATAGGTAGGGTGGGAATCTTAGATTCCCTTCAGTACTTATTGTCCCTCTGGAGACAATGTCAAAGAACAAAGAGATTTCTACTTTGTTTCACACTTCTATTAGTCAAACAGTAAAAAATCTAGTCTTAGATCGGAAGAGGTCCTTGAATCCACCCCAAGCCTACCATGCTGTCATCGTAATGCGTGATATTGTGCAAGGGGCCCCAGAAACCACTCTCTGGCCCGCGGAGGTGGCCCGAGGATTGATCCGATGGTGCAAGGAGGGACCAACCGAATGAACACGAGACACAAGAGACAGAGTACAGTTTAGAAATAGAAAAAGAGAGAAAAAGGGACAGGCTTTATTGAAGGGTACAGAATGTTTATATAGGGTCTGGGCAGCTCAGTCAGGAGCAGAAGCAATATAACCACATATGGTAAGGTCAGCAACAAGAGCTTTACCTAACATTCAAGGTAGACATTTGTACATCAAAGGGTCTTATGGCAGTAGGTGCATCCTGAGCTTTACATTTGTATATCAAAGGGTCTTAGGGCAGTAGATGCATCCTGGAGTTTACTATAGATAAGGTCAGATAAGATAACTGTCAGCCTGATGTTATTTGCTATAGATCAGGCATCCACTGAGGTCAGGAAGCCCTGGGAGACTGTCACCAATGTCTGTCCCAAACAGTTCCTAACATGGGAACCATGGCCAGGGTCTATGAGAGGGCTCTTGGCTTCCCACAATATTGTGTAAAGTGGAGACAATTTCTGAATCAAGATTGATATTCAAGTGTAAGAATGAAAAGTCTGAATTGTAAAACTCATAATGTAATTGTTCTAATTAAAAATATTATGGTTATAAAATCTGTCTAATCCATCCGGGAGGGAGTTAATTATAAAATAATTAATAATTTAAAAAATGTGATTCAGCATAGGTATAGAGGTTTCTTTCACTGGAAACAGTATTTATGCTTCAGAAACTGAGATTTCATAATAAACTTGTTACTTTTAGTGAGACAATAAACTCTTTGTTTATTGAAAATTCATTTCCAGTGTTTAATATTTTATTTTAAAAATATAGTCATATTTAAAAATATGGTCATATTTTTCTGTTGTTTATAAAAATTGAATACTAGTTGTGTTAAATTTGCATGAAACTTTTCTCTGATGAGATATAAATGTCATTTTTCCCAACATATATACAAAAATCCAACACTAGATTAATTTAGAAAAAAGATGAATCAATGGGGGTATGATGCTGCCAGCAGGTCAATTTGTACCTGTGAGGTTAGTGCATCGCAGCCTGATGGCACCATCAGGCTTTCAGATACCCCAAGATTGCTGCTGTGTCTTTGGCCAGACACCAAAAACTTGAGGCAATGTTTACCAAGAAAGTAAACAGTCAAAAGTTAGGTATGTGGGAGACACACCCACAAACCACCTCCGGCTCATCTATATAATTGGAGGCATGGTCTCTCTGGTTCCTGATTGAACTGCTTAACGGCCATGATCCCAGAGACTCAGAAACAAATCTCGGAACCCAAAGGCTTTTGGCAGAAATGCATCCTGTTCCTGCAGTAGGTTACTGGTGCTGGGCCACTCCAGGTGGGAATAGGTTTCGTGCCTTGACCTGTTCCCCTTGGTGGACCGGTGACCACCAGCCTCCAGAGGCCACTGGACAGTCAGGTTTGGGCCTGCAGTGATGAGACATGCGGGGCCTCACCAGATGGGGGTGAAACCACCCCTTTCCTCCCCATCCCAGTGAGACCCAGAGTCGCCACCTACAAACGGCCTCTCTGGCTCCTGATCAAGCTAATTATGGCCATGATCCCAGAGACTCAGAAACAAATCTCAAAACTCAGTGGCTTTTGGCAGAATGCATCTGTACCGTATACAAGATGGCCACTGCCTTAGAGCTTCTTGGAAAGCCAGGTATGAGTCAGCGATGATGGGGCAACTGCAGTCTCATGGGAAGTGGGGAGGTACCGGCTCGTCCTTCATGCCCTACTGAGGTCATGAGTTGCCCCCTATGAGTGACTCTCCGGCATGGCCATACCTCCAGAGGCAAAAGGACATAATTCAGAGCCTGGCAGCTTGCGGCATAAAAGTGAATGGACCATGCATTAAACTACACACCATGCCTCCCTGGGAGGAAAAAGGTGTTGCTCCCTTCCGCCTTTTTTCCGCCCAGCAGCAAGGTGGCCACCGCCTCAGAAAACCAGGTATAAGCCAGCAGTAATGGGGCAACTGCAGTCTCATGGGAAGGGGGACGGTACCAGCTCGTCCTTCAAGCCCTACCAAGGTTACCAGTTGTCCCCCACAAGCGTCTCTCCAGCACAGCCATAGCACTAGACGCACAGAAATCAGTCTCATAATTATCTGGCTTTTTGCAGAAATCCAAAATTGCAAGGTCGCTATTGCGGCCACACAAGATTATATGATTCTCATAACCAGCTATAGAAAACAAAGTATTTCACAATGCCTTTTCAGCAATTCTGATTGGGGGGGGGGGATTCTAAACAATAATGGTGCATCATTTGTTGAAGTAACGAATGTGATCAATGTAGAAAAGAGTTAAGTAGAAATCATCTGCCTCACAGTCATTGGGAGGGGTGGGAGGGGGGGTGTATTGGGGTTCTTGGTAGTGAAAAATGAGTACTGGTGAAGGGAGAAGTGTTTGATCATTGTATGACTGAGATTAAAAGCTGAAAGTTTAGTAACTTTTCCCACAGTGATTCAGCAAATAAATACAAGAAAAAAATAAACACATAAAATTATGAAAAAAAAAGTAAGGTGAAGTTCACACCCAATTCAATCAGCTAATTAGTGGCTGAATAAATAGCAGTACTCCTACATAAAAAAAAAGATGAATCAAATTTTCTAAATTCAGAGTATTACACAGAAACGTATTTCTAAATATTAGTGCTTTTCATTTATCATACATTCTACTTTTGTCAAAAAAATTATTCATTAGATTGTTAGATTAATTTCATAAGATAATTGGTGTTTTTTTTGGGTGAAAGGGTTGGGCCACACCTGGCAGTATTATGGTTTACTGCTGTGGTGCTCCAGGGACCAAATCTAGTTCCAATGATTGAATCAGGATTGACTGCATACAAGGCAAGTGCCGTATGCACTTTACAGTCTATCTGGCCCATTCAAGGGCCATTTTATATTGAATATAATATTGAATATAATATTCAATATTGTTATTCTGTCAAGATAATATTTTTCAGATCATGTAAGCATAAATAAATTATAATCAAATATATACATATTTTTTGTTATACATGCTGGAGCGATAGCACAGCAGGTAGGGCTTTTGCTTTGCATGCGACTGACACAGGTTTGATTTCTTTCCCCTCTCAGAGAGCCCGGCAAGCTACCTAGAGTATCTCGCCCACATGGCAGAGCCTGGCAAGCTCCCTCTGGTGTATTTGATATGCCAAAAACAGTAACAAGTCTCACAATGCTACAGACAGTGTTATATTTTGTTGCAATGTTATTTCAAATTTTCTGTTTCCCCTTTTGAATTGAATCACCATGAAAATACATTTTAACCATGTGAACTAATAGAGTATGAAATTTAAAATCATTAAATACATTTATGGTTTATTATATTTTATTACTAATAATTTGATTATTATTTGCATTTGTTTGCTAATTTATGTCTTCTCTAAGTAATCAATTAAATTGTTTAAACCTAGCTTTAAAGAATTGTGTATTCACTGACCTGACACAGTTTTCTAGACTAATGATGGCTTCAATTTCTTTTTTAGTAAATTTCATGAAAAATAATTTTGGAAATGATTGCTTTTGACATTCTATAATTATATTGAATAACATAAAATTACCAATATTTTTCAGTTGATTCTAGTTTATACTTACACAGTTTAAAAAGTCATTTGTTCTCCATAGGGAAGAGTGCCAATTTTACTAGATGAACTTCAAAGCCCCTTTAAGCTCTGAAATACCAGGGTTCTTATAAATAAACATAACTAGGTGAAGAATAAGTCTTGTCAACCTAATCACATTTCCTTTATGCAGTGACAAATGTAATATATCAATGAGAAGCATTAGATATAATAATTCTTGTC